ATGCTAATTGTGGACAACATGGAGATCTGGGTTATCCACTCATACAGCCTGCTTGGCCTTGCAAGGGCTCAGTCCTGAGGCTACAGGTCCCATCTGATTATTACATGTTGTATGTGACAGAACCTGGCTTGTAATGAACTGTCCTGGATGCACAGTTATTTGGTGACCCATGGTCAAGCATTCTATATCTATCTACTAGTATTCTGGTTGATTAGGTTTCTCACAGAGCATATAATTTGGCCAGGAATGATGAAACACATCTGTAAACCCAGAACTTGGGAGGCTGAAGCAGGAATGAAACTTAAAGGCTAATTTGAACCACATAGCAAGTTATAAGACAGCCTGGACTATAAAGTGAGACTATCTCAAAAACAAAAAGACAAATAATTCTCAGCTACAGATGGCGTGGCATGACTCCAGGATTCTGAAGGCCTCTCACTTGGGCTTCTCATAAGCTCCACATTGTGTCTTTCCCCACTAAGACACCTCCAGTATCTTATGGTCTATGTGTCAGGACAGCATGTTCCACATCCTAGATCTGCTGCACAGCGCTTTTGTCCTCTGAGCCTCAGCTTCACATGTCACCTGAAACATGGGTCGGAGCAGTATTTCCAGGTATAGAACACAATGCTTCCAGAACCTAGAAGAGGCAGTCTGGCTCTTGTGTTTCTCTTCATGATGGAAGAGGTGAGATGCAATGCTACTCTGTTTGGAGATGCATACTTTGGACCACTGGATCCCTAAAACTTCTGCTAATGTGGTAGCCCCCTGAGTATTTGTAAGGTTTATCTCCTGCCCTCTGAAACACATGTAATATTTTTGAGAATTTCACTATGTACCCCAGGCTGATCTTGAAACGTTCTACCTCTCTTCTACCTCAGCCTCCCAAGTACTGGGATTACAGATGTGTACCACCATACCCAGCTTGGAGCACATGTGTCTTATCAAGGCAATATGCTAACCATATTTTACCCATCTTACATAATTGTATGATGTAACTGATATAATTGTCCAGTGTGATATTCTGTGGGATGTCCAGATGGTACAGATTCCTTTGGACTATATTATGACACAAATTGATAGAAATAACATCACCCTATGGCAAGACCATAAACGAATTTTGTTGTAAGTCCCATGTGAAAGTGAGATGTTTCTGATCTTCCTTTCTAATCAAAATTAAAAAGAATGTGCTTGATAGGTGCTGGTCACTCACAGCTGCAATCTTAACTACTCAGGAGGCTGAAATCTGAATATCGCAGTTCAAAGCCAGCCTGAAAAATCTATGAGACTCTTATTTCCAATTAACCACTAAAAAGATGGAAGTGGAGGTATGGCTCAAGTGGTAGAGAACCTTGAGTGAAAAAGCCAAGCAAGAGTGGAAGGACCTGAGTTCAAGCCTGAGTATTGGCGTGCACACATGCGTGTGCATACACACACACACACACACACACACACACATACGAGGAGAGTATGTTTGCTAAATTGGTGGCCACCTGCCATATATAAGGTCTTATTTATCTTCTGTAGTGATGATAGTGTGTCTGGAGGGATAGCACAATTAGAGGTAACATCTTTTTAAGGACCAATAGCCTTCTTGGAGACCAACACTTCTGCATCCTCTAATCTTTCTGAGTAGTCCTAATTTCTACTATCACCACTGGAATAATACAGTTTTTCTTTTGATGTATTATTTTCTCATTTTGTTTTTGGAAGTATTGGGATTAAACCAAGGGCCTCGTGCGTGTTAAACAAGTATGGCACCACTGAGCTGCCCCCCTCCACCCAGGCTGATTTACTTCTCTGATCAGAGCACAGGGATATGTGCCATTTCAGAAGTGTCCATTTGGACATTCTTACTGTGATAGCTCTCCTCAAAGACCAAGAAACCCATGTCAGAGTCATTCCAATTATGCATTTGTGAACTGGAGAAGTGACTATTTTGTGGATCTCTGGATCCAGGCAACCCACAGTGACCAGGACATGAGTGTTGGTCTGGTTTCCAGAAGAGGTAAGGGTAGATCCTGAGAGCAATAGGCATTGACTTACACAAATCACTTGTTTCATTTGAGGCCTTCTGCATAATGTTCAAGCAGAGGAAAGTGCTATATCCAAAGAGAAGTGGGCTGCTTCTGTAAGCACAGTGGGTTAAAGTGAGTCTCTAAGTTCAAGGTGTTTATATCTGCTCAGATATCCCCACCCCAAGCCTCAAGGATCCACTCTCATGTTAGCGCTCTGAGCATGGCACAAGAGAATGTTAGGCCTGAAAGTTCATCTTCTCTAAAGCTCTGCCACACTTACTGGTAAATCTGGAGTCTATTTTTCCCCTTTCTGCCCTCTGGCTGCAAAAGATTTCCTTAAATGAAGCCAGGGAGGTCCTCTGGCTTTTACATTAGCTTTGAATTGATGATGACTCACCCGGAGTGTGTCAGATGTTTCTTCAGCTCATCAGTGACATTTAGCAAACAGTCACCCCAATCTGGTTACCATTTCCCTTGCCCCTCTCAATTGCCAAGGATATTTCACCAGCTGGCTCACTCCCTTCCACCAGATTCCTCTTACAGTCCACAGGCAGAAAAAGTCAATTGCTGCTCCCAAAGGCCAGTGGCCTGGGCTTTCATTCTCCCTGACAGGAGAAAAGATTGCATCTTAGCTGGGTGCCGGTAACTTATGCCTATAATCCTAGCTATTAAGGAAGCTGAGATCTGAGGATTGTGATTTGAAGCCAGCCAGGGCAGGAAAATCCCTGAGACTCTTATCTCCAATTAAGCACCAGAAAAACCAAACTGAAGCTGTAGCTCACGTGGTGGAGCACTATATTGATCAAAAATCTCAGGGATGCAGGGCACTGGTTGTTCATGCCTGTAATCCTAGCTACAAAGGGTGAGATCCAAGAATCACGGTTCAAAGCCAGCCTAGGCAGGAAAGTCTGTGAGACTCATCTCCAATTAACCACCAGAAAACTGGAAGTAGTCCTGTGGCTCAAAGTGGTAGAGTGCTATCCTTGAGCAAAAATCTCAAGGACAGTGCCCAGGCTCTGAGTTCAAGCCCAATAGCTGACAAAAGGAAAGAAAGAAAAGAAAAGAAAGAAAGAAAGAAAGAAAGAAAGAAAGAAAGAAAGAAAGAAAGAAAGAAAGCTCAGGGACAATGCCTGTTCCTGAGTTCAAGTCCAGGACCTGCCCAAAAGAAAAGGCTGCTTCATCTTCAACATCATAGGACCCACCAGAGCATATGGCCTGAATGACATTCAGCTTATGACACAGCCAGACCTTCTGCATAGTGCTTTGCTTAACTCCAGCATGTCAGGGGCCATTTGAGCTGCACCTTACCTCCTACCACTGATGGATCTTCACTCCCAGGTGGCCGTTAGGAGACCTCGCTCCAGAATCACATTGAATATTCTCTGTGGTTTGACCTCTTTGGCCTACTGTCCTAGGTTAGCTTCCTGCAAATGGCCTCTGAGGCAAAGGTTTGCACCCAGGAGGCATTCTGGGAATGCTTTTGGGTCAACAAAGGTTGCATGGAGGGAGAGACTGGTTTCTCATTTGATTGGGCTTGAAGCCTCAGCTCATTTCAGAACAAGATGGTGAGGAGTCTGGAGTGATACAAAGAGACTGAATATCAGAAATAGGCTAGGGGCTGCCCTCGGGAAGTAAGTATAACCTCAGCCAAAGCAGTTACCTGTGACAGAATTCAGTTCCCAGTGGAGACAAAGCCATCAGTAGTCAGCAGCTGATATTCAAAATGCATTAATCCTGGTTAAGAAAAACATTGAGAAATGTGATATAGGCTTATCATTTATGCTTGCCATCAGTTTATATATGAAAAAAGTATATTTATAGATATAAAATGTGGAAAAAATCTCTTCCAATGCTTGTAACTTGTAGTTATGAAGTATGTATGAGAGAAACAGACACAGAGACAGAGAGACCAAGAGAGAGAGGCAGCAAAAGGAAACAGCTAGGCTAGGAATATGGCTCACATTTGCCTAACATGTGCAAAGCACTGACTCCCATCCCAAGCACCACAAAGAGAAAGGAAATCATGCACTTTGGTTCTCCTGTATACATCAGTGAAGTCACCAGAGCTATCTGTGCAGTACATATGTATCAGAAAATCTGACAATGTATGAGCATGTCAATGACCGGTAGCCCACCCTCCTCCATCCTTTTCTTCCATGAGAAACGTGATTGAGCTTCTGTCTATGGAGAAGTCTATTAGGTAGGCAAAGAGGCCACTGGAAACTGAGTTTAGCTAAGATGGGGCAGGGATGATGACAGAGCAGTTTGTGATGTGTCTGCTGCTGCTCCTCCACCTCCTTCCTGTGGCTTTCCCCTCATCCTCAGCTGCATTCCTTCCTGCCCCTATCACTGCTGGCTGCAGCTTCTTTAGAACCACCCCCAGCCAGCACAGCTCAATCTGCTTCTCCTCAGACACAGCTGCCCACCCACAGTGGTGCTATGGTCCTCATAGCACAGCATGCCCATGGCTGAGGTGTTTCAGCCCTTAGGAAGGGGCCAGAGAACAGGGAGCTGGGCACTGAGACCCAAATGGGTACCAAAATACATACAACCACAGGACCATGTCATATACTTGTCCTCTGTGAGGTTCTTCTCTATTTATAAACATCCATGAAAGCTTAAAATCTTTTATAATGGGCATAGCACTATTCATTTTGTAACACTTTTCTGGGACATTGATAATAGATGTGTGATGAGCAGATCATATTTTAGGAAATGTCTGCTCTCTATGGTTTATGAACACTCTTCTTTTCAAGGTCTGCAATGCCCTTTACAGACCTCCCCATGAGCATTACAATAGACTTCATTGTTCACAAAGGATTCACTGCTGATTTTTTTCAAAGTAGTTCAACAAATTGAAAGCACTGTGTTGCTTCTATAGCAGCACTGAAGGGGTAAGGGGGTCAAGGGATCAACTTGGATATTGTCTTCCTATCTGAGATTTCAGCACTGATGAATGTGCCCTTCTATTTTCCTCTCCAGGGCAAAATACTTCAAAGGGAAGAAGATTCATGGAGAAATTGACATTAAAGTAGAACAGGTAAATTGGATCAAGTGGACTTTGGGGATCAACTGTCTAGACCAAAAACTAATTGGTCATTTTCCTATGAAATGGGTGAATCATCAATTTTCTTTCTTTTCCAGGCTGAATTCTCTGATCTTAATCTCGTGGCCCATGCCAATGGTGGATTCTCTGTGGATATGGAAGTTCTAAGGAATGGGGTCAAGGTTGTGCGGTAAGTTTTAAAAGGGTACCTATTTCAGGGGAGGGGGCTTTGCTGGTCCTGGGGCTTGAACTCAGGACCTAGGTGCTGACCCTGAGCATTTTTGCTCAAGACTAGTGCTCTACCACTTGAGTCACAGCTCCACTTTTGACTTTTTGCTGGTTAATTGAAGATAAGAGTCTCATGGACTTTCCTGTCCTGGATGGTTTCAAAGCACAATCATCAGATCTCATCCTCCTGAGTAAATAGGATTACAAGTGTGAGCCACCCAGTGCCTGGTGTGTGTGTGTGTGTGTGTGTGTGTGTGTGTGTGTGTGTGTGTGTG